AATAATTTATTGTCATTGTAAGTATATACACATACAACGAAATTCACAGACACCCAGAGACCAGACACATGCACACACATAAAATTCCCAAACACTCCCCACCCACTAAAAGTCCCCCACTAAAAATACAAACATCTACACCGCAGGCCAAGTAACACAGTCCAACTAATTATTCACTACTGGTGGTCTTTAAGCTCATTATTAATTGCAATTATAGCCCTGGGATAAAAACTATTGAGAAAACGTGTGGTCCGAGTCTTAATTGTTCTATATCTTCTGCCAGATGGTAACAGTTCAAAAAAGTTATAAGCAGGATGGGAAGAGTCTCTCAGGATGCTATGCGATTTCCTTAGACAGCGGGATGTGAAGATGTCATCCAGGGTTGGTAGCTGGAGCCCGATGATATTTTTGACACTTAATAGGAAAGAGATCAGTAACAAATATTGCTTTCGTTTGACTTATTTACTTACTTGGAACTAGAATTGGAATAGTTTAGCTGAGAAACATTTGCTGGGAGTCAATTTGAAAGTGAACACCTTTCTTAGTGTAACTGAATAAAATACAGAAAAGGTATGCAGTAAATCAGTATCAATGTGGGAGGCGTGATTACATTACAGAAGACTGTGTGCAAAACTTGCATCAGGGTGAGAAGATTTTGAAAGAACAGAAAATAATTCTTTGGAAGGTGGGCTGGGTAATCAAGCCATCTTTTTTTGGTGGTGTGGTATTGGTGCCTCTGTGCTGCCTTAAAGGGATGGTAGAAAGCATCATGATAGTTATTAGCAACAATGAATGTTGCACTTTCTGGAACAAGTTTTCACAAATACGAATGGTTGATACTGCAGAATATGGGATGCAGTAATATATAAACTTAATAACTGCTAGTTATTAAGTTTATGTAATCACCATTGCTCCAGTAGGTAAAGTGTAATCCTGGAGCCAAACTAGATTGTGACCGACGTCATCAGCAGTTAATTAAAGAATTCCTTTTCATTCGGGGCATACTTGGTCTGTATACAATGAGATAAAGTTGCAGACACCCGAAAAATCACAAAAGAAACTCTTTAATTAGTGGCAGTCTGCTGGTGGTAGTGATGTCATTCCCATTGCACCAGCAGAACCCAAGAAAAATAAGCTGGCCAATGTGTCAGTTTGTGCATGTGTGTAAACTACCTTGTGTTTACTTTTAAAAACAACAGCCACAGGAACAACAGCAAGGTTTTGTATCATCATATGTTGAAGATGGGGATTTAACACATTCCACATGGTCCTTGTGGAAGTCCCCTCTGGGCTGCTCTTTCTCTCGGGAAGAAGCTGCCATGCTTCCATTTGATAAAAATGAGCACATTTTAATATATGTGTACATATTTTGGTTTGGCTCAAATGGTAAGAGAATTGGGCTTTATTCACTTCTTCTGCAATGCCAGTTGCTACTGACGTGCACATTTCCTCCAATCTGATTTCCTCATCATAGTGTGAAGAGTTAATCCTTAATTAACAAAATATTCTGTGAAATTCTGGGCACAGTATAGCCAAATACAGTGGTGCCTCTCTTAGCGATGTTAATTTGTGCAGAAAAAATAGCTGCTAAGCGATAACATCGCTAAGCAAAAATAAAAAGCCCATAGAAACACATTAAAACGTATTTAATGCATTCCTATGGGCTTAAAACTCATCTTTAAGCGAAGATCCTCCATAGCGCTGCCATTTTTGGTGCCTCTAAAGCGAGGAATCGTGCCTGAAAACAGTGGGTGGCTATTTTGTTTACCCGGTGGCCATTTTTAAACCGCTGATCAGCTGGCCGAAAATGGGGGCTTTGCGATGATCGCTTCCGTGCGATCATCACACAGCGAAATTTCCCCATAGGGAACATCACAAAGCGATCGCTTTTGCGATCACAAAAACAGGGTTGCTAAGCGATTTCATCGCTATACGGAGCGATCGCTATGCGAGGCACCACTGTAAATTGATATTATGGATGTGACTTGTTCTGCAGTATGATGCCAGAACAGCAGAGGGAGCTCTTCATGCATAGTTTCCTAGTTTGTTGCTGCAATTCCTTCACTGGATGTTTTGGACACATTTTCAGTTTCTTTATTTCCATGATGTATCTTTTCATGCCCTATTCCTCCTTCGAGCCTTGGTTCACAGATATGAATTGGCAGAGTTAAATTTTAGTTCTACATAGCACCTTAATGTTTGAAGGAGGGATTTCAGTTTTGGTTTGGAACTTTCCGCTGCTAGCCCAGGATTCTTTACTCCACATGATTTGGCCCAGAGGTCCACCAAAACCTGAACTTCATCTATCCCCCCACCCCACTGACGTACCCCCAACCATGTCACACAAGGTCAGTAGGGGGCCACCAAACAGAACCTAAGCACTCTTGGCTGCGGGGCTTCACTGTCTGAGACAGCACCCAATATCTGAGCTGCAGCATCATAAAGACAAATACTATGAAAGCACTCACTTTTGAATACAACTTTTGTTTTCTCATCCTGTTTGGTTCTTAGCAAAGCTCCTGATTCCATGCTGGTACCTGTATTAATGGCTTACTTTCCCTATCTCTGGATTCTGCACAGCCTGCTCTACCAAATGAGACCAAAAGATCTGCATTGGTTTAAATGATGATATTCCCGTGGTAGTGGAAACTGTACATCAGAGACTCTGCACTGTTTGGGAGTTCGCTTGATGGTCTTTCTATTTAACGCAAAGCTTCTCATCTTGGTCAGAGCATTTTTAGATGTGATTGGGCACCATAGAAATGGGATACTAGACTAATTTCTATGGTGAAAGTTGCACAGTTGAAAAATACATTGCCATTTTCTGCAGCGTGATCCAGTGGGTTCTATTCAATCTGTTTATCTAATTTTTCTGTTTATCTTTCAGCACAATCAATTACAGCAAGGATTTGCCTCTGGCTCAAGGGATCAAGTTTCAGTAACTACTTTGTGAATGCACTGCCTTGGCTGAATTCGGCCTATAAGAGCGAAACTCATGTTGGCCTGAAGCTACAGACTTACTAGGTGGAATCATCTAGCATTGAGGATACTTGTAACGGCTACAGTGTGCCTTCAATTGTGTTGATCTTGCAGTCATTTCAATAATGTACTTTGTCTTTGATGCAGCATTTTCAGAGTTCGGGTCAAGCTTCTGATGGAAAAGAGGGCCTTTTAAATCTTTTATCTTGTATTATGACCTGCAGAACCTTACAGCACCTTTTGTACCTAATAAACAGGGGCAAATGCATTTTGGACAATACATATATCATAAGCTACAATGCAGAAATGAAACTAGAACTTCTGCTATCATGGCGTACCTGCTTCCATTCTAATAAATTTCCTGGCTTCTAAAATGTCTTCTGTTTAGACAAACCTTATTTGGGGTTAGGTGGGATGTTATGTAGCTAGTATGTACTGCTGCTGATGAGGTGAATTTTTCTTTTTCCACTTTTCAGCTGAATGTATGAAGGGAGCAGAGCTGTGTGTGTCACACACTTAAGGCAAACCCAAGCAAACAATAACAATACTGCTTTAAGACAAAATTCAATCAGTTTGGCTTTTTTCTTGTTACACAAACATCTCTTTGGTCTTCCCTCGTTTTTGGCGGTGCCTTCAAACATTTGTTGTTATTCATCCAGGTATTAGAATTGAAGCACTGATCGTAGGGAGCTACGTAATGCCTGAGGAAGCAGGCTAGGTAACTGAGGCCAGATGGATTTCCTTCGAAATCAGAATGATACAAAATCTTGAACCATCTTAGCTACAAATCCTAAGCAAAACTGCCTCTGAAGAAATCAGTGAGCTGTCAGCGGTCATTACTTTTCTATCACACAGGCCAGCCCTTGCTCCTAATCTCAGATGGCTTCTCCTCAGCAGCAATTAGCCAAAACTATTTTTAAAAGGGGTGGTGGGGGAATGAGAGAAACAAGCACACACTCTCAACAAAGTATTGCCTGTGCACTGCAGACGTCCCCCTAGCTCTCCCGTGCGCCCCCCTCTTGCACCCTGCCCTCCACACCTCCCAAATGTTTAGGCTCATGGAGGACTTTAAGCAAAGCCTTAAACAGGACTTTGCAGTAAAACTAAAGGCAGACCAGATGCGGCAGAACAACTTGGTTGGTGTATTCTTATCAGCAAATAAAGAATGGCCTGAAAATTAACTTTTTTTTTTAAGCCTTAAACAGGACTTTGCAGTAAAACTGTAAAGGCAGACCAGATGTGGCAGAACAACTTGGTTAGTGTATTCTTATCAGAATGGCCTGAAAATTAACTTTTTTTTCCCAAGGAAATGGTTTCATGGATGGAGGAAAATGACCTTTCTTCACATTTTCTTGCTCCAGAACCTCCTCCCCCTGGCTTCTTTCTGACAGTGGCCACAGGTCATTCAAAAGAGACTAGCTGTAATTCTGTCTAGAAAGGAATGTCTGATCCTTTCAACGTGAACGCTCAATGGTTGTACTGAAAAGGCACTGAAAAGGAATTGGGTCCCAATGGTTTTTGAAAATCTGTTGTGAGTATATCTTGAGCATCCTTCCCCAAGATGGAAATGCCTGTCAACTGTTTTAGACTACAGTTCCCATATTCATCAACCAGGAAGACCAACAGTCAATGATGCTGGGGATTGTAATCCCAAACAATGGGAAGGTACCAAGTTAGGGAAGATGTGGGAAAGCTTTCACTTTCCAGATGTCCTGCGCTACTATTCCTGTAGTCCTTTAGCAATGAAGACAAGATCTGAAAGGACAAATGTGATCCACAACAGCAGAGTTCTTGGGGGTTAAAAAACAAAACCAAATCAACTACAAGTTATCTTTCAGAACCACTGGGGTGGAAGCAACCATTTCAAACTAGTGCCTGTGACCTTTACTAAACATTCTTGGCATGAATGCCAATGCTGAAGATAAGCACTTTAGAGCAGCAGTATTTATGAGACGCTAATAAAACAAAGACAAGTTTAGCAATACTGTAAACAAGTTGATGTTCCTTAATTTCTAGTTTAATTATCAAATGCTATTGAGTAGATTATAAACTGCAGTTGCTGCTAGTTGATTATTGTTCCCTGAGGAAGCCCATCTGAGTAGCTGTAAAATATGTCCTGGAGCTGTGACTGTATTATGCAGTGCAAAAAGCTGCTTACAATTTAATTCATCTGCTGCTTGTAGCTTCTGCTGTTGCATACATTTAATTACCATTGAATGTATAACATCAGTGAATCTTGAGTCTTAAATTACATGGCTGGTCAATAATTCATTTGTTGGCACTGTATTGTTTTACTACAGAATGACCTTGGAATAATATAAGGACTGAAATTTAATGTCCCCCCTCATTGGCATCTTTAGAGTTTGGTCAATGGAAATGAACACTCTAAAAGGTTAGGTTTACTTGCTCTGTGCTTGTTAATGTCTTATACGTATAAATGCTACTGTTGATAAAACATAATTAATTGTGGGTCTAAATGAGCCAGTTCATTCAAGTAATTGCTTCCTCCTGCCCTTGTCTGAAGACAGGATTATCCGGAAACCAAACCATTGCTATGTGTTACATGTTGGATATTGGTTTCATGGAGGAAATGTAAGTACACAGCATCTCATGTGACAATGTGTGACTTTTGCCACACATTGTGGCAAACTAGGGTTTGGGATGTGGTGGCACTGCGGGCTAAACCGCAGAAGACCAGCAGTCGTAAGATCGAATCCACGCAACGGAGTGAGCTCCCGTCGCTTGTCCCAGCTCCTGCCAACCTAGTGGTTCGAAAGCATGCAAATGCGAGTGGATAAATAGGGACCATCTCGGTGGGAAGGTAACAGCGTTCTGTGTCTAAGTTGCACTGGCCATGTGACCACGGAGGATTGTCTTTAGACAAAACGCTGGCTCTCTGGCTTGGAAACGGGGATGAGCACCGCCCCCTAGAGTCGAACACGACTGGACAAAAATTGTCAAGGGGAACCTTTACCTTTACGGTTTGACTAGTCACGTACAAGAATGCTTCTGACACATGGATGTGTTTTAAGGGTATGGTGTTACTGTGATAAGAGGGAAAAAACATACACCTATTATTTTGTCCAATGGTGTTTTGCCCTATGCTTATGTTTGTTTCCCACAGAAATCCATACAAAAGTTACTCTGTATGTGATTATATCTGTTGGAGGGAAGGTGTGACACCATGTCACAGTGTCACATCCCAGTGTAGTGTGCAGTTAAGTGTGGCACAGTAGTTAAGAGTCATGGACTGGGACTTGGGAGATCCAGGCTGTAATCTCCACTCAGGCATGGAATCTACTGGGTGACCTTGAGCCGGTCACTCTCATGCTGACTCAACCTCACAGCATGGGGAAGAGGAAGAATGCTCCATTATACTTATAAACAGAATCTCCCCAAATCCCCACCAGCCTCTTCTTGCTGCCCCACTTTGAGAAGATATGTCGGGCTTTCCCCTTAACTTCAGATCTTACGCAGCCAGGGTTCTGAATCACTATGCATATAGGAATCCACAAAGCCATGTTCTTGAGTTAGTCCACTGTCAGCTCAGGCTGACAGCAGTTCTCCAGGGTTTCAGATTGGTGCTCTCCTTACATGAAGGTTCCTCAATGCACAGGGGGATCTCCCAGGCAAATACTAACTAGGACTCAGCATGCTCAGTACGAGTGTGCTCTTTCATATTTTTGGAGAGCAGAATATTTTTGGAGTTCCCTTGCAGAATTCTAGGAGGTACAGTCAGAAGCACAAATTTACAGAGCAGCTTTCTGGTTACTTACCTCTGTTGCTGCCTTCTCTGGCCTGTTTCTACTTCCAAAGTTTACTGTGATGCTACCTGTGAGTTGCAGGTTTTACTGGTACCTATAGAAGGCACCTTCTGCAGAAAGTGCCCTTCATGTAGCCTATTTGGCAGCAATCATCCTTTGTGCCCCCCAGTTGGTCATCCACCCCACCATCGCATGACCAATGTCCCCTGGGGGCAGAGGATGCTGGAGGTTGTAGTCTTTCTGCCCTGAGGTCTATTCTCTCTGATGAAGCATCATTACCGGGAATACCCATGGTTCCTAGGTAGCACTGTGGCAGTTTCCTTGTTTTTGAAAGTAGAAACAAGCCAGTGAAAGCAGCAACAGAGGTAAATAACAAAACAACAACAACAGCAAAAACCACAGCCTAACTGCTCAGCTTCCAAAATCAGGTAAAATCATACTTGATCTGGTTTGTATCACAATATAAGCCCATAGAACACATTTGCATACACGTCCCCCCAACATGCCATGATTGGAGGTGGGCATGAACCAACTAAATACAATTGCTGCGTTGTGGAAGATACAATTACTGCGTTGTGGAGGAAGCAATGGGAATAAAAGCGGTGCATGGAGTGAGATATAATAATAATAAAATGCTTATTTGTTAACCCTAGAATGGGCGGCCTTCAGTTTCCCAGCCGACTGGTTCTGCAACACATGTTGGTTTGTTTCCCAGCCAAGCAGGTGCTCGGAGCTTCAAAGCCCACCAGCAGGAGCAGGGTTCGAGAGCCCTCAACACCTGTTCAGCCGAGAAACAAACTGGCAGATCATTCCAGTTCTGCCTGTGACCACCGTTGGGGTAATAGCTGTATCTCCTCTGCTTTTCTCATGTTCTGCATAGAGTTTGCAGAGGCAAATATGCCTCCGCTTTTGTTCTGATAAGATCGCCCTCCTGACTGCACATGATGCTAAACCGGTGTGGTCAGTTTGCCCTTGCAGTGCCCAGGCCTCATTCTTACAAGGTTTTCTGCATGTCACAGCCACATCCTTGTATTCAAAGCAAATATCTTCGAATACAATGTATGCTAACCCTAACCCCTTTCGGTAATTGCAGCTGTGTTTTGAAACCAACCCAGATTGCACCAGTTCTGCAATAGCCCTACAATGACTAGAGTGAAATTTATTTAAAAACTGTTGGTTTTAACTTGGGCATAATTGCTCCCTAAGCTCCTCTTTTAACACAGATCTTGTCCGTGCCTGTAGGTCAATTATTCAAGGCAGCTTTTCCTTAAGGGCCCTTCATCCTATTTCACAAGGTCAAACTATACAAAGTAGAGGGCACATCATAAGAGGGGAAATGGCTGGTTTTGGAGGATACCTCCTTGAATCCTCCAAGCAGCATCACTCTGCCAGGCATGGGCTTCTGGGAGTTATTGTAAAAAAAAAAAAATGCCCATCTCTGGGTAGCGGAGGGGATTTCTTTAAGGCCTGGTATTCTCGCTTTTCTCACTTTCCTACCTCACAAACCAGCTTTCTTCATTTAGCTTTGTTCATTCAGCTTCATCTGAAATCAGATTGCTGGCATGGAGCTCGCTGGACTTCGTTACTGCTCAGAACTGAAGCCACTCACAGAGCGCCTGCAAGAGACAAGACTTGTTTTGCTTTTGATCTCCATTGCTGGAATGCTTTATTGATGGAAGCTTGCTCACTGGGTACCCATATTACTATGTTTTTATGCAGCCCTTTTCTGTTCTCTTAGACATTTAAAATATTTTTTACAATATTCAAAATCTGCTATTTTAGTCTTTAGTGTAGCTTCA